CAAGGACCAGTCCCTTACAACATGTCCAAAGTATGTTAGACGAAGCCCTAGAATCCTTGCCTCCGAGGAGTAGCCTGGTTTAACCCTCTCCAGGATGAATCTGTTTGTTTTCTTAGCAGTTCATGGTACATTCAATACTGTTCTCCAGCATCACAGCTCAAAGGCATCAATTCTCCTTCTATCCTCCCTAGTCATTGTCCAGCTCTCTGATGCATAACAAGTGATTGCAAAGACCATGGCCTATATCAGGCACACCTTAGTCTCCAGAGAAACACCGTTGCTCTTGAGTACTTTAGAGAGGTCCCTAACAGCAGACTTTCCCATCACGATACGTTTTTTTATTTCCTGGCTGCTGGTGCCAAGAGTGTTGACTGTGGAGCCGAGCAAACTGAAGCTGTAAACAATCTCAATCTTTCGCCATCCATCCTAATGCTACCAATGGGTCCATTGGTGAGAATCTTTGTCTTCTTGACATTGATCCTCAGTCCATACTGAAGGCTGCAGTCCTTGACCCTCTGTAGCAAGTGCATGAGGTCTTCCTCAGTTTCAGCTAGCAGGGTTGTGTCATCTGCATAATGCAGATTGTTAATAGATCTTCCACCAATCCTGACACCACACTTCTCATAGAGCCCAGCCTCTTGGATAATCTGCTCTGCATACATGTTGAAAAGGTATGGAGACAGGATGCATCCCTGGCGTACGCCCTTCCCAATTTTGAACCATGCAGTGTTACCCTGCTCTGTTCTGATGACTGCCTCTTCATCCCATTATAGGTTTCACGTTAGCACGATTAAATGTTCTGGGATTCCTATTCTTCTCAGGTATTCATTAGATGTTGAAAATATAACATGAGTAAGACAGAGTTGCTTTCAGGAAGCATGAACAATAATAGTAAAAAAATAAAATATATTGCAATAAGTGATAAATGTTTCAATAAAGGGGTAAAAGGACACACATGGATATTATGACTGTTTGAAGCAAGAAGCAAGAGAAAGACTTTCTGGGAAAAGTGAGGAGAATAGAGTTTTAGAAGATATTTGGAGTTTACCTGTAGACAGGAGGAGAGAAAGAGAAAGAATAGGAAGAGGTTTTAAAGAGACCAATACCAAAACCATAGAAGCATGAAAGATTAGAGATTTATTGGAAATGCTAATAGAATACTAGGAAACTAGAATAACGTAAATTCACCATAAATCAGCATTTGGCATGTTGTTCTTAGGTGCCATCAAGGTGCATATGATCCATAGCAACCTCATGAACAACAGATCTGAGCCTTATTACCTACCCTGTGTCATTCTCACCATCTCTGACACGCCTGAGCCCATTGCAGCTGTCAGTGTGTCTAACTATATAGTTGAAGGTCTTTCTCTCTTTCAGTGACCTTCTCTCTTCCCAAGCATGATATCCCTCTCCAAAAAAAGCCTCTCCTAGCAACATGCCTGAAGTATGTAAGACATAGTTTGTCATCCTTTCCTCCAATGAGCACTCTAGTTGCACTATTTTCAAGACCTATTTGTGTATTATTCTGGCCGTGCTCGGGCTATTGAGCACTCTTCTCCAACATCATAGTTGAAAGGCAACAATTCTGCCTTTTATCATGCAGTTTTCAGATGGATAATTATATTTCATTTAAACTGGAATCTAAAGAACAAGATTAAAGACAAGAAGTGAGTGTTAAATATAAAATAGTTAAATGGACATACCACTGAAAGGTTTTAAGTATGATTCAATTTTAACATTTTGAGAAGATCTTCAAACTTAGTTCAATACTAGAATGAAGATTAAGAGCTCCAGTTCTCAAAATATAATCAAATCAAGAACAAAGATGAGTTTTCCCAGGGTGATGTAATTAATAAGAAGCAGCAGCATCTAGACACTCTTTATTCTGATTACAAATTTTCCTACCTATTTATTTATAAAGGGAATTCTTAATATTTTCCATGTGATAAAGATGACATTTTAATAATGCTGATATTATAGTGAGAATTTTGGGAGAAGGATTGATTAGGAGTTCTTAAAACTGACTGCATTCATTGAGGTATCAGAAAGTATAAATGCATTTATATGTGTATGTGTGTGTGTGTGTATATATATATATCTATATATTCCTTGTAGGGTTTTTTTTCAATTTTTGTTTTCCTCATAATGTTAGGCCACATATAATTTACTCAAGTTAGAGCAATGCATTACTGAGAACTTCCTCAAATGAATTTAAAAAAAGAATAACCATTTGGCTATTTAAAAAAAAAATTCAAAGTGTGATGTCCCTAAACACTGAATATTCTGAAGGAAACACCGTTAAATGAACAGTTTAATCCTGAATCTTAAATAGATTGGAAATAATCGTGGAATACTCAACAACTTCAGCTCAAAATTTGTTAAGACATAAAGATATTTTTTAGCAGCACATGTGGACTGTTTTTACCTCATCCTCATTTTAATCCATTGATTATTTAATAGGTAAGAAATTATCAACCAAGTCTTATCCTTTTTAGTTGTTTTGACAGTTAAACTTGAGGCTAGTAGTTTCTTTATTAGTGGAGATTATAAAAATTCACACATTCAGTCAGTTTTTGTGTAAAAGAATGCCAGTTTGATGAAAATATGACTTTGCCTGGATTGGAGCTTTCAAGAGCATGCAATAAAAATTAATTGAATTGTCACAAAAAGGTGGAGACCAGACAAAATAGAAAATTGTATTTCTGCATAGAAGTTTGTGTGTTGGCTTGCTACATTCTGTTCCTAGCAAACACCCTTTTTAAAAAATCACTGAGAGAAGTCCTTGGCTGTGAGCCCTGAGGTTCTCATTAGAATGGATCCCTCCCAATGACACACCTGGTACCTGGTATCTGCTGCAAGTACAAAGGCCAAGCCTTGCAAACCTACCCTGAGTGCAGAGTCTGGCCCACGCATGGTGGTAGGTAATAATGAGGTGGGTTGCCGAACCATAATTATAGGTCACTTAGAGGTATCTTTGAAGCCTCTATGGCTGCCAGCAGGAAGTTTGTCATTGCTTATACTTAGGTCATAGTGATTTATCAAATTGGGAATCATCAAATTCCCAAAGCCAAAGGTTTGTAGTGTCTGACAAAGGTACTGTCATTTACTTAGTCTAAATAACCCTTCACATTGTGATGGAGCTGCTTAATCTGATATGGCAGCATGTGAGCATTCTAGCACCTGAAGACTGTGTCAAATAAGTCCTCCTAACAGCTTGTAAAATCTCAAAGTAGCTACAAATCTCACCTCAACTACAGAGTAAAATGAAAATAAGAGAGGCCTATCTCTTTATTACAATCTTGTTCAACCTAAGATACTACTCTATTAGGAAATCCTAAGATACTACTCTATTAGGAAATAAATGTTGATGATAAGGCAAAAATGCAGAAAAACCGTGAGATTATGTGACTTGTAACCATTTATGCAAAAATAAATTCTTGAACAATTACTGAGCTCAAATGCAGAGGTAAACTAACCACAATTTCTTAATGACTTCTAATTAGGTCAGGATTTGACAAGTGGATGATCAAAGGACTTCCATATTAAAAATTTGGAGCCATCCAAATAACTGATAATTTCATTTCTTTTATTCTATTTTTAAAAAATATTCCATATATTCAGAACCAAAAGAATCCTATTTGGGATATCCATAAAACCTAAAATAAGATTAAATAATTGCACTTCAAGCAGTTGAAAGAATTTACTTAGCTTATTCTTTATTTTGTTAAGTTCTGGAGAAGATATTCCTAGGAGTTTGACCCTTTGCACGATGTCTAATGCAAATTCCTGTTATGTGACTTATGTTATTTGCAGTAATTTGCATACTCTTCTATCTTCTCCACTAAACCATGAGCTTCTAGTAAAGAACATGTTCGTACTTGTATTTCTCTTCATGGGCCAAGGCCTCATGTATTAGCACTTAATAAAAATTCGTTGTTAATAAAAATAAGTGCTCCTTATTTTGGAGAATTATAATTTAATTAAAAAAGATAAAAGAAGAAACATAAATGTGGGAATGAATTTAAAACTTTTATAAAGTATCATGACCACAAATGCAAAAATGACACTCTGCTATGTGAAAGGGAACAAGCACTGAATTTCTTTTCATAATTTCACATTCTCTAGTAGGCTTGATGTTGTTCCTGTTGCATGACTTCAGGCCCTCTAGCAGGTTTTCAGAGGCAGTTAATCACACAGAAGGAGATTGTCCATCCTCCTGCTGAACAACTGTTGAATTTGAACCTTAGGCTTTTGGCATTGCAGCGCAGCTTCTTACCACCAGGCCACCAGAGCTCCCTCTAGTAGGTTTTTTCACATGGCAATCTCTAAAAGTTTTTAGAAGTTTATGAAAGCAGTCATAAAGTCATTCTTAATGTGCAAATACTTTCAGTTTATGCATTCATTATATTTGCTGTTGTTCTATTGACCAAAAAAGTCATAAAGTTAATCCCAGAGTAAGTTTAGATGAGTGTCAGGTAAAGCAGGTGTATAAAGAAACTTGAAAAAAAATTAGAACTGTTATTGTAATCTGTGTATCATACATGGGATCAAAATAGTGAATTCAGCTTTGGATTGCTACCAGGAAAGTTGGTAGTTGGTGATTTTAACCTACCAGCCATTTCATAAGACAAATATTAGTCTACTTTCCTGAAGATTTATGGCCACGAGAACCCTATGAAACAGTTCTACTACTCAGTCCTTCAAGTTTGCTATAAGTCAGAATCTACTTGTAAACAGTGAGATTTTATTATTACTCACCAAGAATTGTATGACATACTCTTTTAAAATTACTGCATGTGACAGAGCTATAGTCTCTCCATGTGTGAGTGTGTGAAGAGAGAGAGAATATTACAAAGTGATATTAAGTCAGATGTCTAGTGTGCTATCTGGTCTTGCTTCACCATGAATGGAAAGTTGAAAAAGTTATCAAAAAGGTATTCATTATTTCCCCTAAAACCTTCCAAACTTTGTAACAGGTTGCTTTATGGGTTGCCTTGCAGACGCCCTGCTGGCTCTAAAGAGGAGGTCCTTATATTTGTCTGGTCTGACGGAGCCCTTGAATTTACTGACACGTCTGACTCTCTGAGGCCATTCACACTCTACGAATACCAGGTCAGAGCCCAAAACTCCAGGGGCTCAGTGGAGAGTATGTGGTCTTCAGCAAGAACCCTGGAAGCCCCACCTCAAGATTTGCCAGCTCCCTGGGCTCAAGCCACCAGTGCTCATTCAGTGTTGTTGAATTGGACCAAACCAGAATCTCCCAATGGCATTATTACTCAGTACCATGTGATCTACCAAGAGAGATCAGATGATTCAACATTCAATGTTTCCATCGTACACGCTTTCACTGTCATGGTAAGAATTTACTTAAAAAAAAAATAACTAGTTCTTTTTCCTGCCATTTTTCTTCAGTTGAGGCTCCAATGGATAAAATATGTCCAATAGTGAATAGAAGCACTTCTTTCATATAGATAAGTTACTTTATTCAAATAAGGAATGTTGGACACCATTCCTGAGACCACAACTCTTTTTCATTCCTTCAAATGCATGAGTAAATGTTTCCCCTCTTGATTTCTGGAAGTTCTGGCAGCCTAGTCAGTAGAATGTCGTGTTGTCAATTCAAAGATGGGAGGTTCAAAACCATCAGCTTCTCTATGGGAGAAAAATAGTCAATCTCTACCCATGTAATTTAAAACCTCAAAAAATCTGCTGGAGGGTCAGTTCCTATTGATGGCAATGAGTTGTTTGGTTTTTGAGTTCTGTATCTGTTAAATTGTAATCACTAAATATGTTCCTCTGTACCTCACGAGGTTGAAGTTTGTTTGGATGAAATTACAGAATTCCCTTTTCCAATTACCAATGATCCAATGATGTCAGATGTTTATAAGAGAAAAATCACATGTATTGATACTTACTGGTGATTTTTCTAGCCTGATCCTTTCTGGCCATCCACACAATTTTCACACGTACACACCCTCAATTCATTGGATACCTTCTGACCAGATTCTTTAGGCTGGGGATAACTGGACATTCTATGTGGGAAGCAGAAACAGAATAACTCCTACTTTGGGAAACTTTCTCATTTATAGCATTGTAAAGATTAAAATTGCACATAATAAAAGCATTAATGAAGTAGTATATTTTGGCTTATAATGCGTATTAGAGACCATGAAGATGACTCAGTATAGGACAAGGTACAGAGCTGTTGTTACAGGGTAGCAATGCGACACAGCCAAATCAATGGCACTTAACAACAGCAATGTCAATCACTCTAGTATTCAGATCTCAAACTCCACTACTTTTGAGCAACAAATCACAATGAAAACGAGAATAATGTTTACCAAAATATTAGGAAAAAAACACTCTAGTGGTTTGGCAGGAAGTCCTCATACTGAAAAGGCTTCACAGAGATTATGAAACTCCGTAGTCATAGAAAATAAGCACACAAGATTTTCAAGATGTGTCAAGACCTTATTAAATATATTCAATATGGGTGTGAGTTGATTTGATATGGCCTCCTATTTAAAAACACATTTGACCCTCAGGCCTGGTTTTAATTGTTTTTAGTCAAACATTCTTCTAAGTGGTATAGCACTAGTCTGTGCATTGCTGTACAGAGGTAACTTGTGGTTGCTGTGATACCAAACACTGTGACACTGATGTATCAAATGAGATAATGGTTACCATGGTGGACAGTGTTTGGTGGAGCTTCTGATCAAAATAAGCTTGGAAGTAGAAGTGGCATCCATTTCCAAAATAGCTTGCCTCCGGAAACTCTATGAACATGGAGAAACAATGAAAGTTATACAAATGTTCATGTCTTTAATTCATAGGGTGTCTATGACTCAATGGCACTTCACAAGAACCACAACATGAAAATTTTATTTTAAAATATGAAAATTCTTCATAAATAAAAATAAAATGATCAGAAATAAAATATTATTATCATTATTATTATCATCATCAATATTTTAATGTATTTCTATGCTTCAAATATAAGTAACTGCATAAAGGTTACATTTTTCAAAGTAAGTAATATTGGGTCAAAGTGTTTTTCATGGAACTCCATGAGAATCTTTTAAATTAACTATTTAACTAAAACCAACATTTTTATTGTACCCTCATATTTAATTTTCTTTTTTTATATTTAATTTTCTTATATGAATGAAAAATAAGTAATGTGTGAGCAAAACAATGCTAAGAAAAATCTTAGTTTTTATTTAGTTCTAAATTCATTCTTTTTATTTGATATTTAACTTTTTATTTCAGTCGTATAAATTATATCTTCTTTATCATTTATTATAAGCATTAATAACAATATTGTAAGTTTAGAAGATTTTCTTTTTTTTTAACTAATATGACATCCATGGGAAAGTATGTTGCTTCTTACCAGATCCTTGGAATTCATATTCTTAGCTTCCAACTCTGAAAACAGAATCTCCAAGAAAATTCTGAGACATTTCTGATATTAGCCTCTTGAATGAGTCATTTGAATTGTGTGTTGTTATAGAAGTTATCTTCAATGTTAAAGTGACTAAACTTTTGGGCTTTTGAAGTATGAGTCTAGTTATGTAATCTCCCAAAGCAGTTCTAGTGCAATTCCTTTGTGAGATACCATATAAATCATGCTTAATAACTAGTCCCATTTTTTCAACCCAAGAGAAAGAATTTAGTCAATCCCTGAGTTTTGTATTTTATTTAATCTTCTGGATTATATTTGTATCGGAAGGATTATAAATCCCAAGCTTTAAATTGCACAGTATGCTTTTCACACTGGGTTCCCTGCACATCACTTCCATTATGATAACCTGGGAAGCTAATAATCACTTACTGCAAGTTAATATTTGCATTGCTAAAGAGAATATACAAAATAATCCAGAAACAATAGTATTCCTTCATCCTAAATTTTGAATGTGTGTGCATGTAGTTTCCCACCCCATAGTCTGTACTGTTAAAAACAACTCCAATGGTAAAATAAAAAGTATTATTTTTTGTTCTTTTTTATTGTCATTTAAGTGAAAGATACAAAACAGATTAATATTAATTCATTCATACACATTTTGTTCTATAACATTAATTTCTATGTTGTTGTGTTGTTAAGTATCATCGAGTTGTAGATGACTCATTGCGACCCTATGAACAAAAGACCTGAACACTTGTATAACTTTCATTGTTTCTCCACATTCATAGAGTTTCCACAGGCAAGCTCTTTCAGAAGTGGACGCCACTCCTGCTTCCAGGCTTGTTTTAATCGGGGAGCTCCACCAAACACTGTCCATCATGAGTAACCATTATTACATTTGGCACATCTGTGTCACAATGTTTCGCATCACAGCAAACAGGAGTTACCTCTGTACAGCAAATGGATAGACCATTGCTAAACCACTTAGAAGAATGACCAAAAACAATTAAAACCAGGCCTGAGGGCCCAAATATGTTTTTAAATAGGAGGCCGAATCAAATCATCTCACACCCATTAGCGAGTCAACATTCTACCCTAAGCCTTATCAGAACCAGCAGACAAAACTCCGTAGAATTCGGCTACTGCAGACAATATCACACTTTTCTTACTTCCTATGTATAATTTTTATTTCTATTAATCCTTCTGCATTTTCCCTTTCTTTGGTGATAGTGTACTGCTCATTCCCTTATTTTATATTGTGTTTTTCCTTTAACCATCTTACTGTGTGTGTATTATCTGTTTACTCCCTTCTCCATCCCTTTACCATCCCTGGTAACCATACAAGAATGTTTTGTGTATAAATTTTTCCTTAGCTGCTTCTAATAATGATATTATATAATATTTGTTCTTTTATGGCCAAGTTATTTCACCTTAACATAATGTACCCTAAATTGAGGTAAGCAGTATTTTATGAATTCTTGATTTCTTTTTAGTGATACATTTTGGCTCCATTGTGTTAATATATCATAGTTTCTCTATCGATGAGCACACAAGTTATTTTCATCTTTCTGTTATTGTAAATAATGCTAGTATGACCATGCCTTTGAATGTATGAGTTCAGATTGAATCTTTTATTTCTTTAGGCTATATACCTAGTAGTGGACTTGCTGGACCAAAAGGTTGTTTGTATTTCTGCTTTCTAAGACAGCTGAAAAAGCTTTTCGTAGTTTCTCTGAATAACAATCCAGCCATCTGTGTATGAGATGTCCAATCTCTCCAACTTTGCCCGCATTTATTACTTATGGTTTGTTGAACTTGCTATTGTTGACGGGGTAAGATGGTATCTCATTGTTGTTTTAATTTGCATCTTTCTGATGGCGTACTCTATAGGGAGTTTCACTGCTAATCCAAAGGTCAAGCTTCTCTGGCCATCCAAATCCACCAGTGGTTCAGAAGTTCCACGGAATAAAGATAGGCAATCTCCTCCTGTGTGGTTCACAACTTTAGAATATGGATAGAGGGTCAGCTATGGATCAGTTTCTACTTGAAGGCAATGAGATATGGAGAGACAGAAAGATAGAGTCCGAGAGAGAGAATAATGATGGTGAGCTTTCCTTCATGTGTTTATTGTCCATCAGATTATCTTTCTTTAAAATACTTTTTGTGAAGTTTATTTTATGGTTTTCTGTGTCGAAGTCTTCTGGCCGTTTTGTGATTTGATTCTTTGTTTTGCTTCTTGTTGAAGTATTGGAATTTTATCTAAGTTTTGTGTATTAGTCTTTTGTCAGATGTGTCCATAAATTCCTATTTTACTCTTTCAGAAAAATGTTTTAATACATTATTGCTGTTGTGTGCCATTGAGTCAGAATAAGCCCAATTGCTACTCCTCAGATAGGCATTCAGGGGCAGATAATCTCATGGAAGGAGATTGCTTCTCCTTCTCCTGCAAAATATCTGGTGGATTCAAACTGTATTTTAATGCATAAAAGGATTTCAGTTTTGAAAGGGTTGCAATTGTCTAGTTTCTCCTCTTCTGATTGGTATTTTTAGTTGCATTTGTTAGCTCATTTATGCCATAGATTAGGGATCCTGAGTTTTCCCCTATTCTTTTTTGATGATCTGTAGTGTTAGATTTTATATGTATATCCTTGATCCATCTCAAGTTTGTGTTGTATATGGTGTGAAGTATGATCTTGTCTCAATTTTGTACAAATATATATACAATATTTCTGGCATCATGTGTTAAAGATACTGTCTTTTCTCTATTTAATGGATTTCATCTATTTGTCGAAGATCAACTGCCTGTGAGTGCATTAATTTGCTTCTAGGTTCTCAGTTCTATTTCATTAGCCTATTTTTCTGTCATTGCATCAGTATTATGCTGTTTTTATTACTGTGGTTCTGTAGATGTTTTGAATAAGGGCTCCTACTTTGCTTTTCTTCTTCAGTGGTG